CCATTCTCCTGCATTTTTTTCCCTTCTCCTTGCCTACGCTCTGAGCTTGCACTTGGCATGCTTGGACATGACCTCCCCTTTCTAGTGACACTCAGGCTAAAGAAGGCACTGACTCTTGTTGGGGAACCATGTCACAATACCTAGTGTCAGTGTTCAATAAACACCCAGTAAACTTCAGTGTTGTCGAAGGGAAGCCACACATGGAAATGCCTACCTTGGAATTTGGACAATGGCAAGATGCAGCAACGTTCTTTGCAAGCACGGAGGCATTTGTGAGGCTCTGCTCTGGGACTGGCAGAGAATGAATTGGCTTCGAACTAACATAAGTGGAGCAACTGTGGCCACAGGAGCCGCTGACTGTAATGGCAAGTAGGCAGCAGTCACTATTTTTACCGTGTAATGAAAAGAGCAAATGTGTTCACCCCGGTGGCATCACAACTAAGCATGGGGCTCAGTGATGGAAGACAGGCATGAAGACAAGGGGTTCCCGGCAAGTGAGGCAGCGATGAGTAGAAACAAAGGCCGGAGGGTCCCAGGGAAGCTGAAAGGTGAGTTGGGGGCCATCTGCAGAGGGGATCTGGGCTCAGATTTGTCATCTCAAGGAGAAGCTATGGGGCCTTTTTGAGGCATGGCAATTAGATGAGACAACCCTGGCAGACAGAGCATGACTGGCAACGTGACTGGCCCTGCATAGTTCCAGGGGTTCCCAGTCCCCACAGCTTCCAGACTCCCTGGCCCAGCCATTCCTCAGGTTCCCAGCAGCTCAGGAACTTGCATCAGCAACTTGGGTCACGACACCAAGATCAGGCTAGGAGAAGGGGAAGTGGAGGAAGAGGAGTTGTTGACCTGGAAATGTCTGGGAAGGCTTCCTTTGCTGGGATTAACTATTGTCCATGAAGCTGGTGGCATTCAGCAAGGCACAGAGTGTCCTGGGGAGTGAAGTGCTGGGTATGTGGGGGAAAGAGGTGCCCATGCCTTCACCCCTGCTTCCCTCTCAGAGCTGCACTTTAGCTGTGGTGAAGCTTAGGCAGATCCAGATGCAGAGACTACCCCCACCCCACCCCACCAAAGGCTTTCAAAACCTCTAGGTTTGGCCAAGCGAAGTGGCTCACGACTGTAATCCCAACACTTTGGGAAGCCAAGGTAAGTGGATCACCTGAGGTCAGGAGTTCGAGACCAGCCTGGCCAACATGGCAAAATCCCATCTCTACTAAAAATATAAACATTAGCCAGGCATGGTGGCAGGCACCTGTAATCCCAGGTACTCGGGAGGCTGAGGCAGGGAGAATCGCCTGAACCCAGGAGGAGGAAGTTGCAATGAGCCAAGATCACGCCATTGCACTCCAGCCTGGGCGACAGAGCGGGACTCTGTCTCAAAAAACAAAAACCTCTGTGTTCATTTGCATGTGGGGATGGAATGGTTGTTCATGGTTGCCAGCTAAGTGTATGTAGGCTGAGCTGTGGTTACATTTTTTTTTTCATTTAGGATCTTACTATATTCCCCAGGCTGGTCTGAAACTCCTGGGCCCAAGTGATCCTCCTGCCTCAGCCTCCCAAGTAGCTGGGACTACAGTGCACAAACAGCTGGAGGTCCCCAAGCCTGGAAGGTACCTGGGTGCTATTGCTGTCCCACAGACCCTCATGGCCTGCTGGAGCTAGGGGGCGCCAGAAGCCTTGCCTCTGTGTCTCTGGCTGGCTGATAAGAGCCAGGACGCTCCTGCAGAACAGAGCAGAGCAGAGCTGGAAGGTGGTGGGGTGGGATGAGGTCTGGACTTGAGCCTGGGAGCTTCTGGGTAGGCAGGGTCTGCTGGGACAGGCGCCTGTGTGAGTGCAACTTCCTTTCTTCTCGCCCCTAGCTTAAGGCCAGAGAGTAGGCAGCTTGTTTTCAAAAATCTCAATAGCTTTCTTCTTCCCACTCCCTAAATCTTCTTGCCAACCCTCTAACCCTGCCCGGGGCTTCTCACTGTGAGGTGGCAAGTAGCCGGAGAAGCGGATGATAGCACAGGCCTTGCAGTCCTGGCTGCGGCAGACCCCTTCCATCCTCCCCCCAGGAGACTGCCTGGTTATTTTTTTTTTTTTTGAGATGGAGTTTCAATCTTGTTACCCAGGCTGGAGTGCAATGACGCGATCTCGGCTCACTGCAACCTCCGCCTCCTGGGTTCAAGCAATTCTTCTGCCTCAGCTGCCCGAGTAGCTGGGACTACAGGTGCCACCACGCCCAGGTAACTTTTTTCTTTTGTTTTAAAGATGGGGTTTCACCATGTTGGTCAGGCTGGTCTTGAACTCCCGACCTCAGGTGATCCACCTGCCTTGGCCTCCAAAGTGCTGGGATTATAGGTTTGAGCCACCACGCCCAGCCAACTTTTGTATTTTTAGTAGAGACAGGGTTTCACCATGTTGACCAGGATGGTCTCAATCTCTTGACCTCGTGATCCACCCGCCTCTGCCTCCCAAAGTGCTGGGATTTTTTTTTTTTTTTAAGATGGGGTTTCACCATGACGGCCAGGCTGTTCTTGAACTCCTGATCTCAGGTGATCCACCCACCTCGGCCTCCCAAAGTGCTAGGATTACAGGCCTGAGCCGCCGTGCCCAGCCAAAGTGCTGGGATCATAGGTGTGAGCCACTGTGCCCAGCTGACTGTCTGGTTTTGTGGTCCCAAGCAAGTCACTTCTCCATGGGCTTCAGTTTGCCCATCTGAAGTCTGAGGGCTTTAGACTTATTTTCTAATGGCGTGCCCAGCTCTGACATTTTTGGATCCTATGTAGAGGGAACACTCCTTTCCACCCTCATTCCTAATCCAGAGTGAGGAGAATGGGCAAATTCCCAGAGCCCTGGCACTCCCGTGGGGGACTCAGGAAATGCTCCTTTGCCCCCCAGTTCTGCTCTCACACACCCCCTCCCACATACACTCACAGACAGCATGGAGAGAGGGACAAAACGAAAGATTGTGTAAGAGAATTATGGACGTAGCATTAGAAGGAAAGTGAGAAACTCCAAGAGTCTGTGATATATTATTTTTAATTAATTAATTAATTTATTTATTTATTTTTGAGACGGAGTCTTGCTGTCTCGCCAGGCTAGAGTGCAGTGGCACAATCTCGGCTCATTGCAACCTCTGCCTCCTGGGTTCAAGCAATTCTTCCACCTCAGCCTCCCAAGTAGCTGGGACCACAGGCGCGTGCCACCATGCTCAGCTAATTTTTGTATTTTTGGTAGAGACGGGGTTTCACCATGTTGGCCGAGATGGTCTCAATCTCTTGACCTAGTGATCCGCCCGCCTCGGCCTCCCAAAGTGCTGGGATTACAGGCGTGAGCCACCGCACCCAGCCTTATTTTTAATTTAGATGAAATTCACATAACATGAAATTTACCATTTTAAAGTGTACAATTCAGTGGCTTTTAGCATATTTACAATACTGTGCAACTACCACCTCTATCTAGTTCCAAAATATTTTACATTCTTCCTTCCTTCAGCATCTGGTAAGCATCCATTCACCTTCTAGCTTTGTGGATTTGCATGTCCTAGACATTTCATATAAATGCAGTCATACTCTGGGTACGGTGGCTCACGCCTGTAATCCCAACACTTTGGGAGGCTGTGATAGGTGGATCACCTGAGATCAGGAGTTTGAGACCAGCCTGGCCAACATAATGAAACCTTGTCTCTACTAAATACACAAAAAAATTAGCTGGGCATGGTACCAGCCTCCTGTAATCCCAGCTACTAGGAAGGCTGAGGCAGGAGAATCGCTTGAACCTGGAAGGTGAAGGTTGCAGTGAGCCAAGGTGGCACCATTGCACTCCAGCCTGGGCAACAAGCAAAACTATCTCAAATAAAACAAAACAAAATAAATAAGTGCAGTCATGTACCCACAGAGTACTGCACTCTGTACTCATTACACAGTAACTCCCCATGCCCTTCCTCCAAGCCCCTGATATCTTCTATTCAACTTTCTCTCTATATACATTTGCCTATTCTAGGTACCTCATATAGGTGAAATCATACAACATGTAAGTGGTCTCCCATCCAAGTACTAACCAGGCCAGACCCTGCTTAGCTTCCAAGATCAGATGAGATTGGGCGTGTTCAGGGTGGTATGGCCATAGACAAAAATCATCCAACATATGAGTGGCCTTTTGTGTCTGGCTTCTTTCAGCATGATGTTTTCAAGTTTTATCCACACTGTAGAATCTATCAATATTCCATTTCTTCTTATGGCCACACAACAGTCTTTTTTTTTTTTGAGACGGAGTCTTGTTCTGTCACCCAGGCTAGAGTGCAGTGGCGTGATCTCTGCTCACCACAAACTCTGTCTCCTGGGTTCAAGTGATTCTCCTGCCTCAGCCTCCAGAGTCGCTGGGGTTACAGGCACTTGCCACCATGCCCAGCTAATTATGTTATTTTTAGTAGCGATGGGGTTTCACCATGTTGGCCAGGCTGATCTCAAACTCCTGACCTCATGATCCACCCACCTCAGCCTCCCAGAGTGCTGGGATTACAGGCGTGAGCCACCACACCTGGCCTGGCTACATAATATTCTATCTACTTATTATTTTTGTTCTTTTTCTTTCTTTCTTTCTTTTTCTGAGATGGAGTCTGGCACGTTGCCCAGGCTGGAGTGCAGTGGTGCAATCTGCTCTCACTGCAGCCACCGCCTCCCAGGTTCGAGTGATTCTCCTACCTCAGGCTCCCAAGTAGCTGGGATTATAGGTGCCCGCCACCATGCCAGGCTAATTTTTTGTATTTTTAGTAGACATGGGGTTTTGCTATGTTGGCCAGGCTGGTCTCGAACGCCTGACCTCGTGACCCACCTGCTTCGGCCTCCCAAAGTGCTGGGATTACAGGTGTGAGCCACCACACCCAGCCCCTATTATTTTTATTTTATGAACACTGATTGACAGCTTCATTTTTGGAGGGCCGCCAGTGTGCCACACACTTTGCAGGACCTTCACCTATACTCTTTTATTTGTTCCATTTAGTATAAACTAATGGCCTCCATTGTGCAGGTGAGGAACCTGAAAGCCAGAGGGAATAGCGGCTTTTCCAAAGGTCACATAACTGCTTACTGGTTAAAGCAGTGCTAGAACCCTGTGGTGTCTTGATTCCCAAGTGCCTGCAGGGCTTGAGAGAAATGGAGACAAAGAAGGCCATGGGCAAGAGGCCAAGAGAAGCCCAGCGGGTGCTGACCCTCACCATGGGGATGTGATGGGGGTGGGAGGAGGTGAGGTAGGGCCCCCCCATTTTAGCTTCTTCCCCTCCATCCACCTTCCCATTGCCCTCCCTAGCCATCTCCACCCCAGCCAGGGCCAACACCATTCTGACTGTTGCTTTGCCTGCCTCCACTTTAGCCCTGGTCTTGGATTCCCTGATAGAAAAAGCTGAGGCCCAAGGCCTCTGGGCTGACTGCTCTTTTGGCATAAGTCCTCCACAGCCTTCCCCCAAGGGAGAGACCACTCCTTTACCTTGAAGCTCCACTTTGTTCTACTCTTGTTCCTCTGATGAGACCTGGTCAGCCTTCCTGGGGCCTGACTCTCCCTTTCTCCAGCACCAGCCCTGACCTGACCTCTCCTCCTCCAAACCTGCATGGGGCCCTGCAACGAAGCACAGCTGCGTCTGGTCTTTGTCCAGACATCAGATGATCAGGGAGGGGATGGCATTGTGGTTATTTTTGGCTAAGAGGCTTTCTGTACCCTGCCCAATCCCAGCCTCATTCCCAATGGGTTATGAGAGTGGAGATAGCTTCTTGTTATTCATGTTTCTTACCGCATATCTTCCCTAACCCCAACAGACACACACACACACACACACACACACACACACACACACACACATCTTCTTCCTTAGGAACTGGAGCCCCCCTCCCTCCCATGCTCCCTGCTCTACCCAGCTTCCTGGCCTCAGTTCTCCCACCTTTGGTGAGAGTCCTCCAAGGAAAACATATAACAATTTCGAGTTTCAATTGCAATAGCCAGGATACAGAGATGGCTTGAGGTTGGGAGGGTGGTGGAGAGGCTGTTCTGTAGAAGCCAGAGTCCTTCTGCTACCCCAGGCTTCTTGCTGAAGGAGCATTGATTGAGAACACTGGAGCCTGGGGCTCTGGTCCCCACACATCTGGAGGCCTTTTTAGAAGTGTCCAGGTCTTCTCTGCCTCTTCCTTGCTGGGGTGTTGCGAGCTTGTGCCTTGGAGAGATGGTGGAGGGGTAGGGCAACTCTGTCCTTTATTAGGGTCTGGAAATCTCTTATGAGGTCCTGGCTCAGGGGCGCACTGGGCAGCAAGGCCAGCTTTAGCACTTTCTCCTGGTAGTGAGGCAGAGGGTTCGGGCAGGGCCAGCTCCTGGCAAAATTACTGGGAAACGGGTTTGGCAAGAGCTGGAGGCCCTGGGGTTCAAACCTCCCACCATCTGATATGTGCCGGTACCTGTTAGGGGAAGGGTGTGAAGAGAACAGAGAGATCAAAGAAGAGATCCAGGCACAGTGGAGAGACGCAGAAGGGGAAGGGTGATGCCACTGTCCACAGCTAGTTAGCCATGAGGCAGCAGGAAATCCGTTCTGTCTCTCCGCCTAATCGGATATTGACCTATGCCAAATGGCCTGCATCTTATGTTTGGCATTAGGCTGGTGACGTATGTTGCTCAGCTAGTAAGCCTTCCATCCTTTCCACGTACTCTATATAATATTATGATCCAGATCCCAATCCATATTCTAACTGTCCTTCAAGTCTCGCCTTTTCCTCTAATGCAGTGCCAGTGGGAAGATCACAGACTCAACTCAACTGGATGACTGCCTCTTCTCAGTAAGCCTGCGGTATTGCGTCCAACAGTAGGAAATAGTCTTTTTTTTTTTTTTTTTTTTTTTTCAAATTTTTAAAAATAGAGACAGGGTTTTACCATGTTGACCAGGTAGATCGCAAACTCCTGACCTCAAGAGATCCACCCGCCTCGGCCTCTCAAAGTGCTGGGATTACAGGCGTGAGCTACGGCGCCCGGCCATTTTTTTTTTTTTTAACACAGCTAAATAGTAGCAGATTTTCTATGACTCAATACACTTTGCACCTGGTTCAGCAGATAGTTCTCTGCTGTTGTGGGTTTATGCAGAGGTTCTCAGCCTGACTGCACATTAGAATCACCCTGGGAGCATTTAAACACACCCTACCCAGGCTGCCCCAAGGTCAGTTAAGTTAGAATCTCCAGAGGGAGGCTCAAACTTCAGCATTTAAAAAAGAGCCCCTGCATTTAAAAAAAGACATGGTGGCTCATGCCTGTAATCCCAGCACTTTGGGCAGCCAAGATAGGCGGATCACCTGAGGTCAGGGGTTCGAGACCAGCCTGGCCAACATGGTGAAATCCTGTCTCTACTAAAAATACAAAAATTAGCCGGGCATGGTGGCAGGCACCTGTAGTCCCAGATACTCAGGAGGGAGAGGCAGGAGAATCACTTGAAACCGGGAGGCGGAAGTTGCAGTGAGCTGGGATTATGCCACTATACTCCAGCCTGGGCAAGAGCAAGACTCCGTCTTAAAAAAAAAAAAAAAAAAGGCCCCAGGTCATGATAATGGGCTGCTAGGATTCAGAACTGCTGGGTTTACACGTAAATGTTCTATTTCTCCAACAAGATCATGCTTACATCTCATTCTATGTCTGAAGTCCTCTGGGTCCCTCGTGCTTCAATGTGCTTGCTGACTGATCCAAAGTCATTTTTTGAGACGGAGTCTCACTCCGTCACCCAGGCTGGAGTGCAGTGGCACAATCTTGGCTCACTGCAACCTCCACGTCCCAGGCTCAAGCAATTCTCCTGCCTCAACCTCCCTAGTAGCTGGGATTATAGGCACCCACCACCAGGCCTGGCTGAATTTTGTATTTTTAGTAGACATGGGGTTTCACCATGTTAGCCAGGCTGGTCTTGAACTCCTGACCTCGTGATTCACCTGCCTCGGCCTCCCAAAGTGCTGGGATTCCAAGCGTAAGCCATTGTGTCTGGCCTAATTTTTTATATTTTTAGTAGAGACGGGGTTTCACCATGTTGACCAGGCTGATCTCGAACTTTTGACCTCAAGTGATCTGCCAACCTTGGCTTCCCAATGTGCTGAGATGACAGGCATGAACCACCACGCCTGCACACCCAGCCCAGAGTCTTTTTTTTTTCTTTTTTTTTTGAGACAGAGTCTCACTCTGTTGCCCAGGCTGGAGTGCAGTGGCATGATTTTGGCTCACTGCAACCTCCACCTCCTGTGTTCAAGCAATTCTCCTGCCTCTGCCTCCTGAATAGCTGAGATTACAGGTGTGCAACATCATGGCTGGCTAATTTTTGTATTTTTAGTAGAGACAGGGTTTTGCCATGTTGGTCGGGGTGATCTTGAACTCCTGACCTCAGGTGATCCACCCGCCTCAGTCTCCCAAAGTGCTGGGATTATAGGCGTGAGCCACATTGCAGGCCAATTTTTAACTTTTTTTTTTTTTTTTTTTTTGAGACGGAGTTTGCTCTTGTTACCCAGGCTGGAGTGCAATGGTGCGATCTCGGCTCACCGCAACCTCCACCTCCTGAGTTCAAGCAGTTCTCCTACTTCAGCCTCCCAAGTAGCTGGGACTACAGGCGCGTGCCACCACGCCCAGCTAATTTTTGTATTTTTAGTAGAGACGGGGTTTCACCTTGTTGACCAGTATGCTCTCGATCTCTTGACCTCGTGATCCACCCGCCTCGGCCTCCCAAAGTGCTGGGATTATAAGCGTGAGCCACCGCGCCCAGCCCTTTAACAACAACATTTTTAATCCCTTAAGTAGCTGCTCAGAAGGAATGGCAGAACTCAATGAGCTTTTCCTTTCATCACAATTTCTTGTTCCCACCTGGTGAACTTGTACACCTCCTTCAAGGTCTAGCTCAAATACAGTCATGCATCACTTAATGATGGGGGTACACTCTGAGAAACGCGTTGTTTGGTGATTTTGTTGTTGTGAGAACATCGTAGTGCACTCAACACAAATCTAGATGGGACAGCATACTATACTTATAGGCTGTATGGTACAGCCTATGGCTTTGAGGCTACAGACCTGAACAGCATGTTACATACTGAAGACTACAGGCAAGTATAACACAATGGTGAGTATTTATGTATCTAAATATAGAAAAGGTAAAGTAAAAATATGGTATAAAATATTAAAGATTGGCTGGGTGTGGTGGCGGGTGCCTGTAATCCCAGCTACTTGGGAGGCTGAGGCAGGAGAATTGCTTGAATCTTGGAGGCAGAGGTTGCAGTGAGCTGAGGTCACGCCACTGCACTCAGCCTGGGCAACAAGAGCAAAACTCCATCTCAAAAACAAACAAACAAAAGGTATTAAAGATTAAAAAGTGTACAGGGCACTTACCATGAATGGTGCTTGTGACTTCCAGTTGGAAGTTGCTCCGTGTGAGTGAAGGCCTAGGACATTACACTACTGCGGATTTCATAAACACTACATGATTCGGTAACACTAAATTTATTTATTTATTTAGGATGGAGTCTGGCTCTGTCACCCATGCTTGAGTGCAGTGGTCTTGATCTTGGCTCACTGCAACCTCTACCACCTGGGTTCAAGCGATTCTCCTGCCTCACCCTCCCAAGCAGCTGGGATTACAGGTGTGCACCACCACTCCTGGCTAATTTTTGTGTTTTTAGCAGAGGCAGGGTTTCTCCATGTTGGCCAGTTTCTCCATTTAGCCAGGCTGATCTTGAACTCATGAGCTCAGGTGATCTACCCACCTTGGCCTCCCAGAGTACTGGGATTACAGGCGTGAGCCACCGTGCCCAGCCATTAAGTTAATTTTATTTATTTATTTATTTATTTTTTCCGAGACTGAGTCTTGCTCAGTCACCTAGGATAGAGTACAGTGGCTCGATCTCGGCTCACTGCAATCTCCTCCTCCTGTGTTCAAGCAATTCTCTTGCCTCAGCCTCCCGGGTAGCTAGGACTACAGGCGCCTGCCACCACACCTGGCTAATTTTTGTATCCTTGGTAGCACAAGGTTTCACCATGTTGGCCAGGCTGGTCTGAAACTCCTGACCTCATGATCCACCTGCCTCGGCCTCCCAAAGTGCTGGGATTACAGGCATGAGCCACCGCACCTGGCCCTATTTTATTTTATTTTATTTTTTTGAGATAGAGTCTCGCTTCTTCACCCAGGCTGGAGAGTGCAATGGAGCAATCTCAGTTCACTGCAACCTCCGCCTGCCAAGGTTCAAGTAACTCTCCTGCCTTAGCCTCCCGAGTAGCTGGGATTATAGGCATGTACCACCACACCTGGCTAACGTTTTGTATTTTTAGTAGAGAACTAAAAATTTTAGGGTTTCACCATGTTGGCCAGGCTGATCTCAAACTCCTGACCTCAAGTGATCTGCCTGCCTTGACCTCCCAAAGTGCTTGGATTACAGGTGTGATCCACCACGCCCAGCCCACTAAATTTATTTTTAAAATGAAGTCATTGTGCTAAAATGTTAAGACAGCTACAACATCATCAAGCGGGAGGTTTTTTTAGCTCCATTATAATGTTATGAGACCGCTGTGGTATATGTGGTCTGTCGTTGACCAAAAGGTTATGTGGCACATGACTTCCTGCTATGTGTCGTGCCTTCTCTGTGAACAGCAAAACCTTGTCTGAAACTCATTCCTTCATTCCTGGCTCCAGGGCCTGGGCCTCCAGCAGTAAACAGGTGAGACAAGGACCCTCTTGTCATGGAGATACCACACTAATGATGATACCTCTATTGAGCCCCCTCTCTACGCTAAGCCCTGTGCCATTTGACCCTGTAACCACCCTGCTGTGGGAACTTTTTTTTGCGATAGGGTCTCACCATGTTGCCCAGGCTGGAGTGCGTGCCACGGTGATGGCTCACGGCAGCCTCAAACTCCTGGGCTCAGACAGTCCTCCCACTTCAGCCTCCCATGTAGCTGGGATTACAGGCATATGCCACCATGCCTGGCTTATTTTTTTGATATTTTTGTGGAGACGAGGTCTTACAGGGTGCTCCAGGCTGGTCTTGAACTGGCCTTAAGCAATCCTCCCACTTTGGCCTCCCAAAGTGTTAGGATTATAGGTTTGAGCCACCACACTCGGCTAGACAAGATACTTGACCTCTCCATCGCAGAGAGACCACCTGTAAAATGGGGTTAATGAGGCCTGGCACAGTGGCTCATGCCTGTAATCCCAGCACTTTGGGAGGCCAAGATGGGTGGATTACCTGAGGTTGGGAGTTCAAGACCAGCCTGGCCAACACGGCAAAACCCTGTCTCTACTAAAAAATACAAAAATTAGTCAGGTGTGGCGGTGGGCACCTGTAATCCCAGCTACTTGGGAGGCTGAGGCAGGGAGAATGGCTTGAACCCAGAAGGCAGAGGTTGTGGTGAGCTGAGATTGCACTCTAGCCCAGGCAAAAGAGAAAGACTCCACCTCAAAAAAAAAAAAAAGATGGGGTTAATAGTTTCTAGTCAGAAGGTCCTGGGGGATTAAATAATACAGTGACGTGTTCAGAATACCACCTGGCACTGTCTTGCCACTGTGAATAGCTCTAGAGTGCTCTCTTTCTCCCCTTTGCGTGCCCAGGATCAGTACCTATCAGCAATTGGCAATCTTCAGGGCAAGGGCAGCAGGGAGAAGCCTGGGTCCCCAAGAAGGGGACTGATCTCTCACCAAACTTTGGCCTCGGTTTTTGTTTTGTTTTGTTTTGTTTTTGAGGCAGGCTCTCTCTCTGTTGCCCAGGCTGGAGTGCAGTGGCACAACCTGAGCTCACTGAAACCTTCACCTCCCAGGTCCAAGCAATCCTCCTGCCTCAGCCTCCCCTAGTAGCTGGGATTATAGGCACATGCCACCATGCTCAGCTGATTTTTGTATTTTTAGTAGAGATGGGGTTCTGCCATGTTGGCCAGGCTGGTCTCAAACTCCTGACCTCAGGTGATACACCCGCTTTGGCCTCCCACAATGCTGGGATTACAGATGTGAGCCACTGCGCCTGGCCCCCCCTCCTTTTTTTTTTAGATTAAAAATCCCCACAACCTCCCGCTGCAACTCCCCAGTACTTTGGCCATGCCCTTGGGATTGGAATTTGAGACATTCCCTCTTCATTGCCCTCCGGCTTTCCTGTTACTCTTGCAAGCTCAGTGCCTGGGCTGGACACCGTTGGGAAGCACCCGTGAGTTCTCCGGGTGGCCGGAAGGGGGAGCTGCGGGGTTCACAGCGGCTCCTCTCACATCCTTGACTCGGCTGTGACTTAGCTCTGCCTGGAGGGCCCCAGCCACTGCTTTGAGCTGTCTGCAGGGTTTCCGCCCCGACTTTCCCATGAAGCCTCCCTGCTGCAGGGACACTCCAGCTCACTGCAACCCTTCTCTCCCGAATTTCTGTAATAACGTCTAACTTCTGTTGAGTTCTTCCACCTATTCACTAGCTCAGTTTATCCTCCCACAGTGAGGTCGGTACCTGAGGATCCCCCTTCATGGATGGAGCTGAAGCTGGAGGACCTGGGCACCTCACCACGGGGATGGGGTTGGAACTGTACTCCAAGCCTTTGGGCTCCAACTTTCCCTCCAGTTCTTTCCATTACTAACTGACTTCCTTACAACACTCACTCTGTCTCACACTTGGGGTCCTTTGCACAAGTATCCTTATTTTGATTGCTCTCTTCGCAAAGCTCCTTGAGGGCAGGCACTGAATCACACTTCTCCGTATCCCCAGTGCCTAGCAGGTATCACCTGCCTAGCTGTCCCTCCAGATTTTAGTGAAATGTCATGTCTCCACTCTCTGTCCTTCCTTTGTCTCTACCTTGTCCTTCCAGCTACACTCAGAAGAGTTTGGTTTTCAGATGGCCAGAGGTGGGAAGGGCAGAGTCCCCAGCTAGAAACAGGAACCCGAGAGAGGGAGGGGTCACCTGGGCAGGGCAGGCTGGGTGGGCTCCCTGAGGAGGCGCCATCTTACTTCTTGAAGTTTGCCGGAGGCCAGATGTTGCCCTGGGCATCTAGTGGAGGAGCCCTTGCCTCACTCCTCAACTTGAGCTTCTCCACCTCCTTCAACTCCTTCACTGTCCTGAAAATCACCTGCTTCTTCCTATTCTTGTCCACAAATGTGGAGTAACAGTGGATGAAGGTCAGGAAGCTGTTTTGCCCCATCCAGGAGGGAGGGGGGATGGGGTGCTCTGCGGGGGGACGTCTGTGGGCCTTGGAGTCAGTCAGCCAGCGCCAGACATTGCTATCGTAGGGCCTGTCAGGCCGGGTGGGGAAGGTGGCAGGCAGACGGCCCACATCCAGCCACGTGTGAAAGCCCCAGGTGTGCTGGGTGGCACCCTTCCAAGGGTGGACGAGCCGCTGCCGCACCTTCGACTTCATATCTGTGCAGGGCGGCAGCTTCAGGGCCAGCTGGTGGTAGGCTTGCCGGGTGAAACCAGGGAACTCCCAGGACTCACTGGGCAGGAAGAACTCACGCTGAGCCCACGTCTGGGAGGGCAGGAGGTTCTCACTGGCCTGGACCATCTAGGGAGAGACAAAGGGAGCCGGGGAAGGTTGTGTGGGCAGGGGCGCAAAAAGGTGGGCAAGGCAGTCTGATCTCCTTCCCAGGCACAGCCTCCTCCAGCCCAGGATTCTCATCAGGACACAGAAGGCTTGGCGGGGCCACATCTCCGGCTCTCTCCTACCCAGCGGAAGTTATGGCTGCTCCGTATCATTCTAATGTAACATTCTCATGATCACTCAGCTTTTGTTCTCTGCCATTGACCATATTTTGGCTTTGACTTCCCATCCTCTGTGCTCAGCTTTCACTCTTTGCCTTCACCTCCCTCCTCCATTCTGGCATCCCCACATTCCCACCCAGGAACTGGTGCTCTTTAGAAGGCACATCAGGCCGAAGGTAATCATGAAGGGAAATGCCCCTAGCATGCCAAGGGAGCAGCCCACCTTCACTTGCTCCTGGTCTTGGTGACATACCAGAAACCTCCTTCCCCAGAAAATAGGGCCAGGTGTTTTCCCATCCCAGACTCCTCTCAATACTGGTTTCTCTGTCATTGACGCTTTTGTCCCACTCCTCATTAAAATGCTAGTATAGAAAACATCTAGAATGGCAGCTCCTTCCCCTTTCTGCACCCTGCCCCTGTGAAATAAACAGCAGCAAATGCATATAGACACTGTGCTAAATACTTGTACACATCTTATTTACTCCCCACAAATATTGCTCTTGTGCCCATCTCAAAGATGCAGAAAGCAAGAAACAGTGAGGGTAGGTAACTCACGCAGGGTGCTGAGTGCCTGAGTGACAGCTGGGACTTAAGCCCTCTGTCTGTGCTCCTGCTTGGCATACCATGCCGTGTGAAATGAAATGGCCTTGGCACAGTGCCTGACTGCAACAAGAAGCGTTTTTTTTATTTTTATTTTTCATGAATTTCTCCTCAGAAAAGAAGTGTCTCTTTGAAAATACTTCTCCCTCCTATTCATCCCCAGGGACATTTCTTTTTCTTTTCTTTTTTTTTTGAGATGGAGTTTGGCTCTTGATGCCCAGGCTGGAGTGCAATGGTGCAACCTCTGCCTCTCAGGTTCAAGTGATTCTCCTGCCTCAGCCTCCCAAGCAGCTGGGATTACAGACCCGTGCCACCATGCCCAGCTGATTTTGTATTTTTAGTAGAGACAGGGTTTTACCATGTTGGCCAGGCTTGTCTCAAACTCTTGACCTCAGGTGATCTGCCCACTTTGACCTCCCAAAGTGCTGGGATTACAGGCGTGAGCCACTGTGCCTCGCCCCAGGGACTTTCCTGATTACAAAAACCCACCTCTTTCTTGGGCTTGGTCCCCTAAGTCATTTCTGTAAGAACATCCCAATGGGTGGGGCTGGGAGATGTGGCACTAGCCAGGCATCTCCTCTCTGTTCTGAGCTCCAGGTTCCCAGTGTCACAGCACAAAAAGGGGAAAACAGCAGAAAATGTGTGGGCCAGGCAGTCTGCTCCCTAGGAGAAAGCCTGGCCCACAACAGGGGACAGCCTGTAGCCCAGTGGGGTCCAAAAAGGTAGGCAGCACAGATGGCCCACCCCTACCTGCAGGAATGGTTCTTCCACATGAGATGGGTGATTTGGCCCTCTGAGTGATCTTTGCTGGTTACTGGCCATTCTTCTGGGGTTCAGAGCTAGGAGGATGGCTTTATGGGGAAGCCCTTTCTGGCACCATTGTTTACTCCTAGGATTGCTATGGTGATGCTACCTGAGTGATGACACAGAGAGGAGTCCCTCTCCTGAGGCTCTTTTGTCCCTTGGACAGATGAGACAGGCAGGGGACAGGGCTCTCCTCAAGTTCTGACTGCAAAAGATGGTAACAGGAGCTGCTGCTGGGCAGAAAGGTAGGGCAGAGTGGCTCCCAGCCTCAGGGTGGGGATGGCAGTTGGAATGAAGCACCTGTATCTGGGCCCATCCTGCCTTAATGTTCAGGGGGCCCTACCCCTCGTGAGCTTTTCTCTTATTAAGGAATAATAACTTAGGCCAAAAGGCCTAAGTTAACCAGCAGGCCCAGAGGTCTCAAGGAACAAGGTCAGAGATGACAGGGAAGAGGTCAGCTGTGCAGGACTAGCACTGGGAAAACTAGCAATTTGTGTTGTGAAATGTGTGTGCCCGTGCAAGCGGCAGGAAGGAGGGGATTCCCTCTCAAGCCCTTTGTGTGCTCCAAGTGCTTCTCTGGGTTAACTTGAAGCCTTGCCTTTTCCCTGTCACCATTGTCTCCATCAACACCCTCTTCCTTTCCAACCACTTCTTGTTCCTTAGGAGTCAGACACCAACAAACCACAGAGCCCAGCATGTCCACCCTGGCTTTTATTGAGTAGGTAGTTACAGTAGTGTTCTCAAGCCAGCTCACACCCATGAGGTCAGCTGGGGCCTAGGGTGGCTCTTTGCAAAGCTGAGGGGCAAGATAAGGAAGTCAGGCAGGTCAGGGGCCCTTTCAGCCTTCTCAAGCCTCCACCTGAGTTCTCGTCAATGCTAGTCCCCTTGCTGTGATTAGGGACATTGTCAGAGAAACATCTAATGGCGCATATCTAGGCACCCACACTGTGCTTCAGTTGCATCCGTCCTCCCACCCCAATTTCAACTCTTCACCCAATACAAAAGACCTTTTTAACCAGGATGTCTTGCAGGAAAGCTGACTAGGAAACATGGGGTTGGCAGGGAGGGGCAAAAAGGACTCTGGCAAGCAGATCCACTTGTCTGCTGTCTGCAGTAAAGAACCCGAGACCCAGGTACCTTGGCCTGGAAGAAACCGTGTACTGCAGGTCCTCCCTTCTCTTGGAACTAAAAGCAAGGAACAGAAGTCAACTGAAACTCCTGGTCATCCTACCCACCTTCTGGCAGTCTCTGCATAATGATATAAGGAAATAAGCTTACATTTATAATTAGAGGATAATTTGGAGAATTTACACTATTTACAAGGGCCACCCTGCAAAGATCAGGGAAGGTGAGAGATTGCTGGGCACAGAATGGGAACAGGCTGGGGAGTTCCTAATCTCTTTTCACCATTGCCTTTGTCATTCCCACCCTTCAGCTCCTGGGAGGGACAACAGAGGAATCAGATTCTCTTGGGCAGCATAAGGTCCCAGCAGCGACTAGGGTGTGACTGCTACCTTTGCATAATCAGGCAGCAGGGAGCTAGGAGTGGCAGAACAGTCTCTGCCTGCTGTCCGAACTCAGAGGCTTGGGGTGCAATGAGCCTTGGACTGCCCAGCCACAGAAGTGCCCAGGGTGGTGGACAGCTTGAGCACAAGGGAAAGGGCAGGGCTCTACTGCAGGTCAGGAATGAGCTGGGACCAGTTGATGTTGTCAGGGCCCAGTGGGTCCTCCTCCAGGCCAGGGAAGCTGATGTCCAGCAGGATCTTGCTGAGGCTATCATTCATTGTGTCCAGAACCAGGCCTTCTGTTAGAGAATGATTGGCTGCAAGGCCAGAAACCTGTGGCTCCGGGGAGCCTGGCTTGGGGACTTCCATATCTGAGGGAGAAGAGTTGCCAAAGGGGTCGGAGGCAAGGTCTAAGGGTTCTGAACTGAGGAGCCTTTGCGGTGATTCAAAAGGGGGAATGCTTTTCAGTGGGGTGGTGCTGAGATCCATCAGCCCCAGGGGGTCAGGCAAGGGGCCAAAGGTACCCTGGGGGGTCTGTACTGGGCTGAAATTCAGCCCCCCTACTCTGGCTGGGGGCGTGAGCATCCAGGATTCAGGGGTTCTGGGGAGGACAGATTTGCTCGGGGTAGAGGAGATGGGCATTGTTTCCTTAATGGGTGTCTTAAAAGGTCCTCCCTCTTCCTGGGGGTAGCTGAGCTGGGAGGCAGGCTCAGAGGAGTCTGCTGGGAATGGGAGCTCTGTAGCCCAGCGGGAAGTACTGGGCCCCTCTGAGAAGAGCAGCTCTGGCTCATCTACACAGGGAGGCATTAGATGCTGTTTCCTCCGAGACCGGCTCATTTCCCTCCTCTCCCTGTGTTTAATCGCAAGCATTTCCGAGACACACCGGGTTGGGGACCTGAGCCCACTGTAGGACTTCTTGGGTCTTGGGGTGGGAGATTGGGACGAATCCTCCCAGGAGGGAGAAGATTCCTCTTTGAAAGATGGGGCTGGGGAGGGCCACTCTTGCAAGGGAGGGCTCTCCACTTTGATGGGTCTCACTAAGTGTGGCATTTCCTCCCCAGGCTGGATTTCTTCCTCCTTGATAGACTGAACTGGAAGCAAAGGAGAGAGTCCTTCTCCAAACAGGAGTTTCTCCTCTTTCACTGGACCTGCAGAAGGAAGAGGAGCTATCCCCTCCTCAGCTAGCAGTGCCTGAAAGGGAAACAGAGACAAGGTGAAAGGGAGCACTTGCTTCAACCTGCAGTCACCAGGCAGGACACACAAAATCATATATTGCTACTGATCCTCTTTGTGTCGTTTTAAAGTCTTAAAATGCTGAAAACCTGGAGCAATAAAAAAAAAAAGTCTTAAAAATCTATTAAATATGAAAATGTCAGGTATGCTGAAGTTGGTAGTTCAATTCTTGGGGTAAAAGATGAGAATATATAGTATGTACTGGCATAATTATAATAGCATTCATCTGAGAGAAAATACAATTGCATGCCTATCTTACACTGTATACGAAGATTTAACGCATGAAAATTAGAACCTTAGGCTGCTCTGATGGTATTGGGAAGTGACATTATTGTCACTAAAGTTGGTACACAATCCCCCCAACTGCTAAATTTGGCTTAAAGAAAAAGAAAACCTTAAAACCATACAAATCCTGTAAGAGGATCTAGGAGACTACATATACAATCTGAAGGTGGCGTGACCTTCGTGACCAAGACTGGAAACTCAGAAGCTGTAAAAGAGAAGAGAGACATTTGACTACATAAAATTATAAAATTTTACTCTGGCAAGAGGTACCATAAACAAAGTTAAGAAATAATGCCTGTAATCCCAGCACTTTGAGACACTGAGGCCAGTTTGAGACCAGGGTGAGCAACATAGTGAGATCCCATCTCTACAAAAAAAAAGTTTTTAAATTAGCTGGATGTGGTGGCATGCACCTGTAGTCCCAGCTACTTGGGAGGCTGAGGTGGGAGGATCACTTGAGCCCAGGAGGTCAAGGAAAGATGCAGTGAGCCATGATTATACCACTGCACTCCAGACTGGGGAAGATAGCAAGACTCTGTCTCTAAATAAAATTTAAAAAAAGAAAAGAAATAAACAATAGAGGTATAAAAATAGCTTCAGCATAAAAGACAGAAGGTTATCATTTTAACAACAAAGAGCTCTCACAGTGGGCCAGCAGGGTGGCTCATGCCTGTATTCCCAGCACTTTGGGAGGCCAAGGCAGGCAGATCACCTGAGATCAGGAGTTCAAGACCAGCCTGGCCAACATGGCGAAACCCCGTCCCTACTAAAAATACAACAAATTAGCTGGGCATGGTGGCATGCGCCTATAATCCCAGCTACTTGGGAGGCTGAGGCAGGAGAATTGCTTGAACCTGGGAGGCAGAGGTTGCAGTGAGCTGAGATTGAACCACTGCACTCCAGCCTGGGCAACAAGAATGAAACTCTGTCTCAGAAAGAAAAAAAAAGATTAGCAGGGTGTGTTGGTGCACACCTGCAATCCCAGCTACTTGGAAGGCTGAGGCACAAGAACTGCTTGAACCCGGGAGGCAGAGGTTGCAGTGAGCCAAGATCACACCACTGCACTCCAGCCTGGGTGACAGAGCAAGACTCTCTCAAAAAAAAAAAAAAAAAAAAAAAAAAAAGAGCTCTCACATATTGATAACAAAACCTGAAAAATGGTCAATGTCCATAAATAAGCAATTCAGATAGAGGACAATTTCAAGTCACCAAATATAATGACAAGGTGCTCAGACTTACTGATAAACAAACAGAGATAAAATTAAACAAGAGGGTAATGGGTGCACCAAAATCTGAGATCAGCACTAAAGAACTTAACTCATGTGACCAAACACCACCTGTTCCCCAAAACCTATGGAAATAAAAAATTTTAAAATAAATAAATAAATTAAATACAAATTTAAAAAATTAAGAAGATATCACCTATACACATTAGATTGGCAAATATTAAACAGACTAATAGTACCAATTGCTGGCAAAGATACAGATCTTATCATATATTGCTGGTTTAAACATGACTTATCACAGCTTTTTTGTAAAGCAATATAGCAATATTTAATAGAATTTAAAATACATTCTCACCTAGCAATCTCACATCTGGAACTTTATCCCAGAGAAATGAAAGCACTAGTAAGAGAGATCCTTGCAGACATATTTATTGCAGTATCATTCAGCAAAAATTGAGAAACAGAATATGTTCACAAACATGGAATGGCTGAAAAATTTATGGTATAGCCACATCATGGAACATTATGGACATTAGAAAATAACGAATTAGAACTATGCCAAGTCACGTGGAAGAATCTCCATGAAGTATTGTTGAGTTAGAGAGAGACATGTAGAGAAGTATATACAACATGATCACATTTTCAATGTTCTATGTGTTATATGTGTACATATAAGATGGCTATCGCTATGCACGTATAACTAAGAGCATGGATAAAATATGCTCTTAGTTATACTATACATGTATAAAGCATATTAAATTATCAACATGTTATCTCAGAAGTAGAGGTGATGAGGGTGAAGGTAGGGTGGAGAGGGGAGCCAAAAAGAAGGAAAGGGGAAAAGAAAACCACTGCATTAAAACCAAAACAAGTGTCCATGCTACAACCACACTAATGCAT